TCATTAATACCTTGAGGTGAGTCATTATTTTCAAATCTGTTTATGTTCGCTTGCACAAACAAAATAATTGTAGGCAAATGTTTGTTGTGGTTGGCACAGTCCAGATGAAGTCCCGGTAGTCTCATTGGAACCCTTTGAAGACATCCTCAACAGGATGGGTACGCCTTTTACTACCCATTTCATAAAATTCTCAAATTCACAATTATGTTCCAGTGTTCAGGAAATAACACAACTTTTGCTCAACAGCAAGACTAAAATTCATTTGGCAGTCCTGCCGACGTGCGCAGCGTGCAGTAATACACTTGCCAGCATGTGAACTATTTACAATAAAATACCGGAGTTGGAAGTAGTAACCAAACATTTCCAATAAAAATTATCTCCATTTCCACTCATAACCACTGCAGATTAAAACTATTCGCGGGGTGTAATTTTCACCACATAATTCTCTGGCGCATGTTCATCGTTCGTAATTTAAAATGCAGAAGTCACAAGCCGCAGTCCAGAGGGCTTGCGAATCTTTTACCAGCTGCTTGAAAGGGTTCAAGCCCCCATATTTCCTTCGATTTTACCGTAGACATTGAAGGTCTTTTTATCGCCCATTCAAAGCGAATATGAAAGCAAAATAAAGGAGAAGAACATTACTTTGGGGTCATGGATTTACTGGATGATGCAAAGGGTAAAATGTCACAGGACTGTTGACTCGTTCCACTAACTGAGAGAAGCGGATAACAGTTTTGACGCTAAGGCGTTTAACCGATGCAGACGATACTCTATTTTACCCGTTTAACATTGTCCCCCTCATATGTTGTATCATATGCTTTTGGAAGCAACGGCAAGAAAAATAAATTTCCATTCGCATTTGTGGAATTTGGTGGAGCAGATTTTACGACTTAATAACAAATGACCATGGCTGTGTTTACAAGTGCCTCTATTGGTAGGTTTGAAAGCTTCTCGTTGTCAATGTCAGTTGCTTAATTTATTGGGTATGTAGCAGCACTACTGCAAAGGTACCATGATACTCGACCTAATCAATGTTTTCGAATTGATCCTCCTTTATAGGCAAATCTTTCGTCAAAAAAGTGTTTGTTCGGAGTTATCACATTACGTATTTTGTTCGCCAAAGGACGCTAACAAGTAACGCTAGGTGACTCGTCGACGCTATGGTTCTCAATTAATTTAATTGGATTTTGAAACGCTTTCATCGGCAGTTTTCGCTCCACTTACTGCTACGTAGACGTAAGGAACTAATGAACAGGCGCAGTGCTTTTAATATAGAAAGCGATCGGCCTAAACTGAATGCGCACTCTTTCGCGACCATAGGAGAGTTTATCTTCAAAAAATTGCAATTATTCCATTATTTCCACAAGGCATTTATGCAGCAGCCGCATCGGTCCTCCTATGCACATCGATGGCCACAGCTGCAGCAGCAATAGCGATGGCGACCGAATGAGCAGAATGGATGTGTCCCTCCACGAAACTTCGCACACATTCTCCTCAATAGACCTTAAGTGACTTTCCATTGACCAGTTGAGTTACTTTGATTGCGTTGATTGGATGATAGCTATCTCCTACAGCAAATTCGCATTTGTAGGGAGAGTGACTACTGCCACCATTGTGTCTGTAGTTATGATCGATGTTTCATAAGAAATACCATACGAATCGTTTATTACTTTTATCTCAAACAGTCATAAATCTCTTAACGGATTAAACTACATTAATACCTTTATACACACCGAAAAATATTAACCTCAGGAAAATGGCTATCACGTTATTTGCAAGATAGCACCCAGTAATTTGCTTTATTAGTGGAAATAAAGGTCGCTATACCTTAAAAAAAACGTTGTGATATGAATTATAAAGCTTGGAAAGCTTATTTGATGTTAAAAGTCAGCGTTATTCTAAATTAATTGCACCACACTAATAAATCGCATGCTTTTTCGCACACGATTTTCTCTTATTTTCTTTGAATGACATCACCTATGCACCAATAAATGAGTATCTCAAAAGGCCTAGTTTATTTCTACCTATCCATAGTTGTTTAGTCCTGATAGCACAGCAATGAGGAACTTAGAATTACAAGGGCTGCAGCCTATGCATTTAAAGTCGCTTAATTTAAGCACAAGTATCACGTTTTTCGCTTTTTAGGGGAACTTTTGAAAATAATGCTTCTAAACTGCTTACTAACGGCTCATTTGAACCTCGGCTTTGGGATGGAGTGGATCGACTTCCTTTTAACAGCCTATAAGGCCGTTAAGAGTTTAAAAGCGCAATGGCACTTCTATCGAGGTGGCGAAGAGGAAGCTCATCGGTGTGAAACATGATGTTTCTGGTATGTAACACACTTGACACACTTTATTCAGGGAAAATTAGAACACTAGGTTTTTAGTTCATCGCCTCGGGCACCGAAGTAAATTGTGCGTAGCGCTTACGTAGAATGCTTCCGATTCACAACTTTGGTAATAAAACTACAAAATCAGCTCGATCTGTTCACCTTGAAGCGTCGATAAAAGTCAACGTCCAGTATTTGCGCTTGCACTTAATAACAGTGTCGGTTCAACGATGGTCATTTGTTTTAATCAGGTCTTAAGCAGAGCTTTTGACAGCTGTTTGGCAATAGTTCCTGCCTATTAATAAGGATAATTTTATAAGTTGTGCATAGCTAATAGTACCTATGAAAGGATTTCGTTGATGAGGAATGGATGGGCCTTTCTGCACGCTTGAATATACACTCGAATTACTTGGAAATAAAGAGTCAAGGCATGGCGCTCATCCTTCATTATGCTGCAGTTATTAGCTACATTGCGCTACTTCCGTCCGCCTTGCATCCAAGGCCACTGACGTAAACGCTGATTGTTTGGTGTTGGATAGTTTGCAGGTTTTCTTCAATAGGACCTACAAATCTTGCATTAAAAGTGCTAGTCTCAATTGCTAGCATTGAATGTTCGCCAACGCCAAGTGCCGGCCAAATCGGTAAATAAATATTTTGCTCAAATTTTCGAAGCAACTTGTTGAGAGACTCTACTTACTGCGCAAGGTACTTCGCTCTCACCTCAACGAAACGATGTTAAAATTAATTTGCCCTTTATTTTAAGATCCACTTTGTTAAACAGTTGTCAGCTTATTTATGTTTTTATGCGCGATGGGAATTGGTGGCTATTTCGCAGAACAAATCACCAGTCTTTGTGTGGTGTTGAAAATGAAGGACACGTCCATCCGCCCCGACATAAACGGCGTACTGTTTTCCTTCCGCGCACTTTCTATTTACACATGAACGAACGCATTGTGGATGGTGGGATATTTACGGAAGGGAATATTGAACACTGAGACTTTTCGGGTCATCCGACGGAAGTCGTTTTTTCTCGGTTACTTGTAATAGTAGATAGGAGGAACTTTCCCATCTTCCAGTGAGTCTTGCCCTTTCGAAATATTCTCAACTTGCATTGACACCGTTTTGTAGGAAAAACATTTGGCAAAATGTTAACTGCTGCTTGTAGTCATGTTGCCTCTTTTTATCATACGGCTGAAACTTTGCCCATCTTACGACCTTTGTGCTCCAACGTCATCCACAATTCAATATGTGCAGCTGTGATTCACTACTTTTAGCCTCATCCAAAAAGCCGCGCGACAATGGTTAACTCTACGAAACCTTTTTACAATAATTTCGCTTGCGCCACAAAAATACCTTTTTAATTAGATATGCTTCAGCCATAGTGATGAGCAACTTTAAATGCTTTAATTACGCCATTCTGCGTCAAGTAGATGGCGAATGCAGATGTAAATGGGATTTTGGCATCTCTGACGCTGTTTGAATAAATTGTCAAAATCAATTCAGCGTGCACCTATTTAATTTTTCATGTTATGAATAAAGCAAGTTGAGTGCCTCTAAACCGCGATTTAATGCGAAGTTAATACATTACCCCTACTTCAAATTGAGTACTTTCAAACCATTTAGCTGCATTTACTTATTGAAACACGAAACGTTTGCTGTCCATTTAAAAACTAGAGAGAACTATCACGTATTTTTGGCAAATTTTTAAGCCTCGACAATGCATAAACAGACGTTGAGAGGCGCAATCCTTAATTGGACAAGCATTTTACAAATTACTGCAAATCTAGACCTGGGTCCCTTTTAACAATCGTATTAAATTACAGGCACTATTGAATACAACTGTTTCGATTTGACATTGAAGACAAAACATGCAGAATATGTTACATGTTTCTCCCAATGCTGTGTCCAACCAGTTTCACATTCAGCATTTATTCATTCTTGTCTGCAAAACTGTGCGTAGGTATGCAGGGGTTGCATGGATGAGGGAGGGAGTTTCCATCCATGTGTCGTCCTTGATTGACTGAATTTCCCGTAGCAGGTAATACTAATGTGTGCTGATTTCTGTCGAGACCAGAAGTGGGAGCAGAAACAAAATCTTTATCCAAGATTCTAATAGCCTCTGAGAGTAGACTTTGCAGGATATTTAGCATTCCAAGCACCGCCGGACACCCGAAACCGTGAGTTATCAGGTTGAATGTGTTCAAGGAGCGCTGACTTCCCACAGAAAGCTCCTGCCTGGTGTTCGATGCAGACGCCCGCCAGACTTGCCCACGGCACCCATCCGACCCCATAGCCGCAATAACGTCAATGACAACTTGTCTGCAGATTGATGAGCAGAAAAGTAGCCAAATCTGTGCAATCACATCTCTACAATCTGTTTTGTTATCTTTCTTCGAATCCAAAACCTTTCAACTGGGCCAATGTGGAAGGAATGTCTTAAATAGAGTTTGCTCTGGTACCATCTTTGATCAGTTACCAACTTCGTTTCTTTGCCTAACTCAATTGTCTATGCACAGATCGTGGTTTTCCAGCATTTCACTAGCATAAGAGGACAACGTTAATGCTCTAAAACTCAGGACTTCTTGCTTTCAACTGCAAGTTGATGGAAATACGCTAATTTAGGCTCATTAACGCAATCGCGGCATTCCTATGACGTGATCCATGTCAACCCTCAAAGCATCGATTTGTTCTTCCACTCTGACAATAAATAAGCGGCTTGCCTGGCAGCGCAGATTTGGCTGCGTCTGGCCAAAACCGCGCTTAGTGTGCTGTAGGAGGCGCTCTTTACCAGCACGTCTGCGCACCCTGTCATGGGAAACTCGTTTTCGCAAAGATAGTTGAAATCCTTTGCTAATCGAAGGGCTTCACCTGGAATGGAGACGGAGTTTCATGAGAATTTATTTTATTCATGAACCCCCAAACGCTACCTTTAAATTCGTTGGCTTTTTCATCTTTAGTTTGCTCTGGTTATCAGTCCATAGGTAGACGATGTCCGCTAGGTATTCTAGAAAACTTGGTTATGAAGCTCTATGGATGCGGATAAGTTAGTTTCAAGTCAAACGCCTCTATTCTGCGCTATCAGGCAGACTTTGATCAGATGCTGCGTGACCACACGAGGCTTTCTGTAACTGTCATGCGACAAACTACTTTTAGGTCTTTTTATGACAACAGGATAAACTAATCCGCCATAACATATAACTAGTTTTGCCACGTTCAGCTAGCAATACCAACCAAGAGGGAAGTAAAATCACGGTAGGGATATAAACACCCGCAGCTATCCAAATGCACGGTTAAGTTTGAGTGAAATCAAGGGTCATACGGATGACCAAAGGAACATTTCGTAGTCTAAAATTGACATCATTCCGCCGCAAGTTTTTTGGTTCTATGGGATTATGGGTCTAAATCTAAAAAAATAGTTACTCCTAACCCAAGGCAATACCCCATGTTTTGAATCATATTGTTTGAATCTGGTATTCATTCTCTACCTGATTTCCTGTGCCGCAAGTCGAGCCCTACTTATTAAGTATGGGTACAAAGGCAGTTATTTTCCCAGTAATTTCACTCCAAATTTGTAGACGGCGCAATTGAGATGCCACGACAGTAACCGAAACTCATAAAACCCGAGATTTTTAGTCTATCCATTACATACTGTCTAAAATTAAGCTGTTTTATGGTTTTCGTTCCATGTCATTCAGCGTTAATGACCAAAATAAGTGAAACATTTCAACTCACCTTCTACCAGGGATGTAAAAAGTGTCACTGTGGCTGCTTTTCTTCTTCCTGCTGGAAGAGTAAGCCCAATTTTGTCCAGTCGATCACGCAGTGACCGTCCACCGTTCTTCGATTTAGCTCTGTAAAAGTGGCCATAAGGTGGATGAGAATGGACTTTAGATTCGTTTTTGGGAAGGTAAGTCAAATTACTGGGCTCAAGGAATAAGCATGCAGATGATGCATCAGAAAATGTTTGAGAGAAGGTTGTACTACTAACGTAGCTGACCCTTTTCAAGCCTAGATTAACGAGCCATCCAAAACACATTTACATTACCTTCGCAGAACTCCACCAAGTAACGAAGCATTGAGACATTCGGGTGGTGACAGTCTCCTCTGAACCTCAGACACTGTCACTTTGTACTTCGACGTCGAGCTGAGAAGTGACAGACGTCCAGGAACGGAGCAGAAGATGTCATTTGGATTCAATGGTCGTCTGTTCTCGTTGGTGGGCGTCGTTGTCTTCTCAACTGGATGTCTCGGCCTCAGTACTGAAACTCATGCAATGCAACTTCGAAGCAGTCACTCGTTTTCTTTACCTTTTGTCTTACTTATTTTGCTATTATGGTTAAAATATGAATAACATAAGACGTGAAACTTCATATTTCTTAACTTAATAAGGTCACTTTATAAGAAAAATTGCTTAACATTAACCCAAGATATCTGTATTCGTTCCATTAAACTGATAGTTTTGAATTTCAGTCTTAAATTCCAGGTTTCGACTACAGTAATAGCGCCCCTATTAAACCTACTCCTGTACGTACATTTGGTGCTTTGAGTGTGGAGTTAAAACTAAAGGTTAACCTTTAAGACTAAGCACTCCCACCCAAACCGCCGAACTTACTGCTGCTCTTCCCCTTGGGTAGATGATTTGTAGCTCCTTGCAACTCTTTCTTCACCTATTCCTTCATCCACAAGTGAAGAGTGGATGTCGCTAGCGCGACTATAAGTCGAACAAATTTGGAGAGCATTTGCGTTATGGTGAACCACTGCTAAGTTCATTTTTTCCCAATTATCAAGTCTCCAAATTCGGACCGCCTGTTTTCTTAGGAAATAGCACGTTTGAACGTGATTGAGGGTAAATTAAGAATACTCAAGTGAATTCTGCGACGTCTATTCCCCTCCTTTTCGGGTAACCATTAATTTGCAACCTAACATTTAAGCGAATCGGTTGTGCCAAGACTTCACTCTTTTGATCTTCTCAAGATTTAACCGAGAACATGAAGTTCATTATTTTTAATGAGCGCAGTAGCAGGATCGGATAGAAAGTTTGCCAATGTCTTGCACTTGGGGTTCAGCCTCAAATCTTAGCCATACTTATGCGAACTTCATTTTACCTAAAATTCCTTCTCCAGCACCGTCTATATTGTACTAGAAAGCGTTGTAATTTTGCGTGTCGTTTACCATTTGGTCAGTGGACACGATGGTGTTCTGCTTCTACGCCTTGCATACCGAGAAACGGCGCTTTAAAGCAATTGCATGAGTCAGAACTTATTTAAATGTAGTATTTGGGCAAATCATACTTTATTTCTTCCTCATGTTCCTAATTTTCCTCGTCGCCAATTCAAATTTTATCATGCGGTTCGTTCACTTTAGTTCGCAATGAATAGTCGACGCTTACATTTCCGATAGGATCCACCAAACTGGAAAATGTTCGATGGTGCTGCCTTCATACTTGATTGTGCTGTGTTGACAGTGATACCGGTGGTGACGGAAGCAGTGGTGGTAACGTGGGTGAACGATTTTCCACTGTTAGTCTGAGTGTACTCTAACTGCACGGGCAAATGACGATAGACGTGTGAGAGATGGTAGAAGTCTGACTGGCCTGCATCCGAAGTTGGTGGGAAAGACAGGGGAGAGGGCTGTGCAACCTCGCCATAGACATGGCGATACCCACCTATTTGAAAGTTCTCCGATTCTAATGCTCCGGGATACAGCGGAACGCTGCCTTCGGCTTTGGTTTGAGGAGAGCCTTCGTGGCTAGCTACCGTGCTTCCAAGTGAAGATGAGACGCTTCCCTGCTCCTCCATTTGAGTGGCCTCGTACATGAGCTACGACCAGAGTGCATAACTTATTTTAGTCAGTTAAATGCAAACAAATCTAATGTTCTTATGTCTCAAAACAATCACCAATTTTTTTCTTCACTTCATATTCATAAGTTTTTAAGTAAACCTGCCCCAATGCTTTGCTTAGCTTAACAACGTATTTCGGTTTTTTGTGGTAGTATTTTTCTAGAAATGATTCGCCTTTGAATTAGGGCACGAACCTAAGTTAATTGATTCAAACGGAAAATTCTCTGGAGCATTACTAACTCAAATTGAATTTGTTCCTATGAAAAAAGAAAGTATTTTGGCAGAAGGTATAGGCAGCTGATGATGGTGTCCTTTGGATAAACTATTTTAGAAATCAGCGGCTGTATTTAAGCACGAATCAGCATGGTTCTGTGGAAAAGGTTGCTAAATTTCTACGCTTGATTGGTAACTAAATTGACGCCTCGAGATTTCCTTACCGATAATAGAAGACATAATGCTTGGATTACATGTATGCGTTTAGCAAAACGGAAGGGGATCAGAGCCTCTAGTGTGACCCTGAGACCAGCCCACTCGGTGAAGGCAACAAGACTAAGTGACTACAATCAAGACGTATTGCTTTGGTAAAATTTTGCTTAACTTATTTGTAAACAAGGATGATTTCCTCACACTTCGAATAGGGCTTCTTTTAAAATCACTATTAATTGACATGAACATTTCAAAAAGCGTTTCTGTTGTCCAACAAGGTCAATCAAAACAGTGAGTTGTCTTGGTGGCTTAGACATTCCGATAGGTTGGATAGATACGCCAAGCATATTACGCTTCTACCTGGCAAGGGGACTGCATTCTGTTCATTTCTCCCCAATACATTGCATACTCGTGCGGGTGCGAGTTCAGACCTTGGAGGTAGTGTGTGGTCTTCCCATCCTCCCGGCCGTCTCCATGCAACTTATTGACAAAGCAGTCCTCACTTGTCTGCGAGAAGGCCAGACTAGTCATTGGAGTAGGGTGAATGACAGCTCTCAAGTCGCCTGTCGAGGTCCCACGCTGACGAATGAGAAGACTTGTAAGCTGGCCTCGGCACATCTCTCCAGTAGGCACTTCTCCATTTCCCCCCTGAGTGCATATAATTCAGATTCGTCGATTGATTTATTCCTTTAATTCCAATCAACGGGTTTTACGTATCAGAGCCTTGAAACAATGCATATCAATTTAATTTACGGACTCTCAAGTTAGTAAATGCTTGGACTAAACTTTACTTAAATATTTGAATATGTACATCATCAACTTAATTTTTCACTTCTTATTCCTTTGGACTATTCCTCAACTCAATCAAGCTGCATTCTAACTTGAGCCTTCAGAGACAAGGATCAACCTGAACGTTTTGGAAAAACGCTTGTGCGTTTAATTTGCTGACTCATTAAGGATGGGTACACAGCTCAGAGATGGCGGTATTCAAATGTACGACTCACTGAGGTGACAGCAGTACTGCTCCCCGCCAATGGCCTTGGAAACATGAGATCGCCCAGAGTCTCATATACTTCATTGGGGTACATGCTAGTGTAGCGGGCCAGCTGTGATGCGCTCATCATCACTGAAGAGGCGGTGAGGAAGGGATTTGTTTCGCCTCCTCCAGTGTCCATTGCAGCCATCTGGTCCGTAGAGCATGTGTAATTAAAGGTGGAAGGATGCACAGCCTTGTCCTCAGCCATTCCAACTGGAAGCCCGCTTATGGTGGGATGCGACAGGTGGGTTGGATGCTCAAACGCAGATCGGGGATCGGACGAGACTGTAAACTTCTACATGGGAAAAGGTTAGTGTTAACAAGCATACGAAACCGGAGGCACAGACACATTAGCTAGGCAATGACGGAAAGTTCTGGAAGGATCAAACTCCAGGAAAAGTAGTGTTTAATCGCAATTAAGGCAGCCGATTGTTAAATCTTCGACTTCTGTGTTAATATTAGTAAAACGAAACACTTTAAATGTAATTGTTGAGACTAAATGCAGGCATGTGATCAAGTCAACCTTAAAATGCTAAAAGCATGACTAAAGTTTTGGTAGGAGATAGAATTTATTAAAGCGCATCAAGTCGGTTGAAATTTTGCGTTGTGATTCCGAACCATATCGGATACTTGAAGACACAAGATTTAATCGTTTTGGACTAAACCTACCTCCATAAAGTCAGCAGAATCTCAGCAGCCAAATATTTGGGTGTAACAGAGATTTTTCGCGCAATCCATTAAAATTTGTGCCTTGTGGGTCCGCCTTGAGCAACATGCAACAGCAATCGAGCCTATGATGGGGATATTTTACCTACAAATTATTGAGGAAGTGCACTGTGCTTTTGGGCGATTTTGAACCCGCCAGAGGCAATTCTCCCTCCCTTAGCCCCCCGGGCGCATCTCCGTCGTGCTGATTGGCCCTCGCTTTCGCGACTTCGAAGAAGGCGGCATCGGCCTATCACAATACCTCTGCTTCTCACAAGTGCGTTCGTCGTCGTAAGATAGCCTCCCCTTTGAGCCAATTACTTACCAGTTTACGACTTGGTAACTTTTATAGCAGCAGCTTCATCTCTACGTTTAAATGTGAAATTACAAAGACAATGACAAAACATAGCATCTTTAGCAGTTTGGAACTTTGTATGTCGGGGGCCAAAAACTGCGTGATAGGTTATTCATATGATTGCTGCTGTGTCTTCTGTAGCAGCCGTTCCATGGATTGTTTCAAACATTTGTTGACAATGACATCGTCGTTGATAACATTTAAAGTGTTTCACCCATCAACCCCTGCACTTCATTATTCACATGAAAACTTAAAGTCCTAAAGCGTGAAAAATAATTCCGAGTTGAGGTCTGTGCACTTTGCGCAGTATTTTACTTTGGTACAGAACGATTTATCGATACGGCTGAGCTGCCTGTAATAGCGCCTCACGGCTTTGTCTTCACAAAAGTTTAAATCTTCGCAAATAATTGGGTTAGTTCATCTTGATAAAACTGTTTCGTCCTCCGTCAAATTCTTCTTAAAATGAATAATGGATTATTTTTTTGGAGAACAGAGGATAAATGGTTTATGTGCTGTGGGTGGCAAAGCATAGTTGCAGCTGAGTCCCCCTTTTGAGATGTGCACCATTTATTCCTCCACCGACAAGGAGGATGTTAGTCGCATAGGTTGCTCATAATCATTTGCAAAAGAAGTTTCATCATAAAACCATGATTAAAATGCACACAAGCATGGCTGCTGGTGTCTGAACTGACTCAGAGTACGTCCTCCAATTATCAACTAACGAAAACGGAGTCAAGTACCAGCAAAATGGATGGGCTCAGTTTGATTTGAACGCCATATGTGATCGGATGTTGCCTCATCTACCTAAACCACATGCCTGATTTGTAAAAATGGAGGCTTCATTTCTGTCAAACCCTTTATTACTGCTAAAAATGTTTTAGTGAAGATAGTTTTGGCATGCAGACCTTACGAACTGAGTCAGAAGACGTTTGAAGTGTTTCCTTTATATAGCTTTAAATGAATCCAGTTAAATTTTTACACGTTTTCGTCAAAGACCAAAACAGCACTTGAATTGAAGTTTCGCGCCAATCCACAATGTGTTCATTCACCTGCCGCCAGTTAGTTCAGTTTACGCTTTATAGCAAAGAGGCCGGCGCAAAAACAATTGCTCTACACAGTCAAAACATGGTTTCCGTAAGTTGAGCGGTGGGCGTAGCAGCAACTTAGCTGTGTTTTATTGCTACTGTAGTGATACCTTTATAACATTGTTAAATTCAATTCGAAGTATCCGGTCCTTATCCTTCAATGCGGCTAGTATCCAATACCTTTGCTGAAAGGTAAACATGATTTTCCAATTGGGCCTGTATTTGTCAAGCTGCCTTTGATGATCAAACCGTCAACCGCCACACGCTGTCACGTTCATGTTAAGCTTAAGCATTTCGTTTTTTGATGCACCTCCTTTAGCCACCGAGATGGATACTAGACTTTGTGAGTAATCGCCACCGCTTAACACATTCCCGTTTGATTCGGACAGAGTAGTTCACCTTATTCACCTCCACCTTGACATATTTTAATGCGGTTTGATGGGAATTTCATCGTTCCCATTCACGTTTAATCAAGAAGCGTCGGAGATATCGATGTTACACAAGTGATAGAGGTCAAGACATAACATCTTACGAAGGTATTATTAAGCAACGACCAGAAAACATTTCCATTGAGTCTAGTTAATGACGCCAAATCGATAGTCTGCATTTGTCTTTGGCAATTCATCAAACTTCGTTTAACACTGTGGTTGAATTGACATCATTGTCAATTTTACTACCAACGGAAACAACTGATACTTTAGGTCAAAAAATTTGTTTTTAATGGTAATACTTTAACTTAGTCGGCCAATTCTTTCCATACAAATGGATTTTTTGGTTGCAAACGAATAGACTCAAAATAATTTCCCATCAGAGTCGAATGAGGACAGGCTTATGCTAATTTCGTAGAGATGCAGGCACAGATTTCTTCACTTTCAACCTCGGGGGAGTAGGTCGAGCTCATTAGATCAGGCACCGCCCGAGGCTATGACGGGAAACTTAACTGCCTCATTATCACCGGCACTCCTTATACGGCGCCCCATCCGGATTTTTACACTAAACCTATAGTTTCGTTTATCCACTTCTTGGCACGCATTTTAACTGATATTTTTTTTGCCTTCATCTAAGATTTCTCACTTTCAACTTAATCAAACTCTGCTTGAACCTTCAGCAGGACCCTCTCGATTATCCTTAATGGGCAATATGACTTTGCTCAAGTAACGGTAAAGACTTCATCCCAAAGGACACATCCTTAATATCAGCCAAAAGGAAAAAAGTCATATGTTCACACTAATTAAGCTTTTCTTTACCATTTTCACTAAGCTGATAATTATGAGTTTGTCGCTCCAGCAATAAAACAACCTGCGAGGTTAAGCAGATGTCCCTTTTCAGTCCCTTCCCTTCCCTTCCCTTCCCCTCCTAACCACCCGCTCCACGAAATTAGGGGTTACGTCACGATTTCGGAAGGGGAGAAAGCGCAACAATTCATTTTATATAATGGCTTTAGCAAGTAGTTATCGTCCAATTATCGATTATTTTTGGGTTAATCAGATGATCAAAAAGCCGATTCGATTAAGAACGTATGCTTTTGGTAATTATCAATTTCATTAGTGCAGCTATTTCGCAATGAATGTGTTTAGCTCCTTTACTTGTATTTCATTATAGGTCGATAAAGCTTATTTCAAAATGCTACATTTGCCTATTATTGCCTTAGAAAACCGCCTCGCTGCATTGCTACAGCATTTCGCAGCTTAATGTAGTGTCAAAATTTAAGAGCACAAACTAAATAACCTTTTCTTTGCGAATTAAGAAGTCCATTCATATTGGTCCCTTTATTTTAACGCAAGCCTTACAAAGGTAATACGTAATATTGGGGGTGTGACATCTGCACCCAAACTACTACCTTCAGATATGTCCAAGCATGTGCTGCAGCAAAATAAACTCCAGAAATTCCCTCGGCCACAATCGCTACAAATTGGCTGCTATACCAATCGCTCTGAGTAACATAGGCTAGCTTCAAGATACGTTAACATAATAAGTTTGCATCTATACCTCTGCATGGTCTAGAGGTGACCTCGAATTCAACTAAAACTAGTAATTTAGTGCATTTATTGCATCGTGCTACTTAGTATTTGCTAGTAAACATAAACCAAAACGCGGATCCTTGCTTCCAAGTACGAATTGTTTCATTCCTTTTCGATAAAATTGTAAAGTTTCAGAGCAATTAAGTTGATCAATAAGTTTTTAGCTACATATTACAACAGCCAGAAGACCTTCACTGTCCTGGTATTGGTTTAAATCACATTTGGGATGTAGATCCTTTAAGGGAATAATAAGCTTTGTCAGCCAAATTATTAGGCACAAAGGCGTCTACTAATTTTCCATTATTTATCAACATAATAAAATGATTAAGGAGAATATGACTATGTCCCTTCTTGAAAATACAAATATTGCCGTTCGGATTGTAAGGGATGAAGCCAAGGTAAGGCTCAGACCGTTCGACTTTACTGTGCATACTGACTGTTTAAAACGGAAGGACGCCATTCATAATAAAAGAAAGAATGTGCAACAATTATATTTTAATGCTTAAAGTAATTACAAATGGTTATATGTTGAACTTTTTTTTCGTTGAGCTTATCATCTCGAATTCTAGGCTCCAAAACATGTATATCTTATGCATTTACGCACTTGTCAATCTACATTTGTAGTATTTTTTCACGTCATTTTGGTTTATTGTTTCAAATTTCAGAATGACGATGTCAACATCGTTCACTGCTGAATATGGATACGATATGTTCTCGTCCCATGGGATGAAATTTCCAGGTGCCTAAGATTAGTGCTTAGTCCACCTCCCTGCCAAGCGTAACGGTTTTAGTCGCGTAAGATATTAAGCATGCATTTCTTGATTGACGCATTCTCTGCCGTGGGTTCAGGATAGAATTGTGCTTCTTCAATTCAAATGCGAGGTGTGCGTTCTGATTGACTTACTGAACCGTCATATTTAAGTGCTCCTAGTAGCGATTGGACTGATTTTACTTCGTTGTTATTAGCTCCCGAAAAATTGACCAATTTTTCGTGACTTTGCACTTATCCGATGCCACTACGTAGAAGTGAAATAAAACAATACTTATTTTGACTGATATACCTCGGCTGCTGACCAATATTTTAACTCCATAATGTCCCACTTACGACATTTCCGTTAACATCTCGCCAGTCGTTCTGTGCAACTGTAGCAGTTTTATTCAAATGCGTGCGACGAGGCCGTCAAGGGGTCTCAGACGTCTAATTCTCTGACGTCGGCAAATGATCGGGCTTGAATATCACAGAAGGAAGACACAAAACTTGAGTTTTTTAGTATGTAATAAGACTCGAATTATTGTCCTCGAGCTCCAATATGAACTTGTTATGATGGTCATGCTTAAATGTGATAATAACAATTAATTATAACTTCCTCTGTGGTCTTGTGTAGACGAGTGGGCAAAGTTGATAGAAGAATAAGTTACAGGCTGAGGATGGTTATTAAACATCCCTCCAAAACCATCTTGATTAGCTGGTTAAATTGCTGC